TGTTAAGTCTCAATTTTACCTCTTTTTGGATGAGACTTATTGAACAAATTCCACTCATCCTTTGAACCATTGCAATATAATTGTTCTCTTTTTGGTTCATTTTGTGTGCAGATATAACTAACCCAAATTCATCTAACAATACTGAAACGAATTTTGCCGAGGTTCGTACTCGACCTCGTTTCGGAGTGAAACGAATTTTGCCGAGGTTCGTACGAAACGAATTTTGCCGAGGTTCGTACTCGACCTGGTTGTGGAGTACAAAATATTTTTTATTTATACATAATTCTTAAATATAATAACTGTACAATAAAATTTTCTATTTTCAGAGGGATACATAATCCCTCACAGATTGTGACGGAATTTGTGACGAAATACAATTTTTAAAAATTTTCCGTCACAGAATCCGTCAAAGTTATTCATTAAATTTTGTGACGGATTTTTGTGACGAAATATTTAGAGAGGAATCAAAATCCGACACTAAATCCGTCGCAATATTTTTTTTTATTAGTGACCCCGTTTGTGACGGAATTGTTAGAGACGGAAAATTTTCCGTCACAAACTCTAAAAATAAGTAGTCCGTCACAAAAATAAAATTTTCGTCACAAAAGTTGTCACTATTAGTGACGACATTTTATCCGTTACAAATTCTCATTTTTCTAGTAGTGCTACTTAGACGATGTCGGACGCCAGTTTAGTGACATCGAATGTGAGTTAGGCAAAGGCTCTTTACCTGAAATAAGGCTGAGCATGGAGTTTGGTCACACTAGGCGTGAGAGCAATAGAAGCTCTCTACCTCATCCACATTAGGCACAGGTTGAGTGGCATTGGACGTGGGCAAGCCCAAGGGCTCTATGCCTCAATGACGTCGAATGTAGGAAGAATGGCATGAGGTGTGGATTGCATATTTAAAATATGTTATTTATGGCTAAGTGTTGAACATTGTATGAGTAGTAGGAGAACTCATATGTTTTATGTTGTATGATATCATTTATTTATTGATGTATATAGTTAATTGAACCGTTGGAGTATGTCATGAGTTGTATGTTATATCGTGTTAAAGTGGTTGAGTTGAGAATGCTTAAGGCATGTTAGTGATTTGTGTTGATTGACTTAGGATTAGAAGAGAGATTGTTTTAAAAGTTGGATATCTCATTATGAGAATATTGTTGTGATGCTCTATGAGTCTAGTTGTTGAAAACACTTCTTTGAAAGTTGACCCTTGAAGTGGAAAGTTGAGTCTCCTCTAAGACCTTAGTTGATGCGGTATGTGGGTAAGGTTAAGGCATACCGTCTACAAGCGACCACAGTATAGGGGTCAGGTTGGGTTATACTAATTATAAAAAAAGTGACCAATATTGATTCGTATGTGGGCAAAATCAAGACATACGTGCATAAAATGATCAAATTATAGTAAGGTACAAGGTCAGAGGCTAAAATCCCTAACTATATACTAGAAAGACGTAGTATTTGGAGGGTAGTCAGTGAGTTAATCTCATAGGTGGCTTAATTATGTAAGCTAATGTCGTGGCTTAGTTATTCAAGTTGTTTTATCTTGACAGAAATATTAGACTTCCTAGTTTAAGTGGCAAAATTTGAAAAATCATATTATTATAATTGGTATCCAAATTAGTTGTTGATGTAACTATATTGAAAAGATCGCATTGTTGTTGATTTGGTAAGGTCAAGCCACTTAGACTACTCACATGTGTTATAAGATATCTCCTAGTTGAAATGTGTGATGACACATATAGTTGATATATTGTGCAAATGCAGTTGATTTTTTGAATTGTGTGATGCATATGTCGTGTTGTAATGATGTTCAAGTTGAATGATAAGTTATGCATGTGATGTGTTGATATTTATGTTGTCCACATGCTATATTGAATTATGAATTATGATGAGTTGCGTTGTTGTGTTGTTCTAATTGAGTATTAGGTTGTATTGTATTGATAATGCCATGTTGAAGCCTATTTAGTTGCTTATGTTGGTAGACTGTGGTAATCATGCTTAATATGGAAGTAGAGTAAGAATAAGTTAAAGGTGGAACTAACTTGAGACCATTAAGGAGAGGTGGCAATTTATATTTTTTTTAGCTACCTTAGTGTAGTAGGACTAGTTGTATATAATGAGTTTAACAACTAGGATTACTATTTTAATATATAGATTATTGTATATAATGATATACTTATATAGTTATTATATCCCTTTAGTTGTTATTTTAAATTTTTATACGTGTATATATATATATAAATTCGTTTTACTCCAAAACGAGGTCGAGTACGAACCTCGACAAAATTCGTTTTACTCCAAAACGAGGTCGAGTACGAACCTCGGCAAAATTCGTTTTACTCCAAAACCAGGTCGAGTACGAACCTCGGCAAAATTCGTTTCGTACGAACCTCGGCAAAATTCGTTTCACTCCGAAACGAGGTCGAGTACGAACCTCGGCAAAATTCGTTTCACTCTAAAACGAGGTCGAGTACGAACCTCGGCAAAATTCGTTTTACTCCAAAACGAGGTCGAGTACGAACCTCGGCAAAATTCGTTTTACTCCAAAACGAGGTCGAGTACGAACCTCGGCAAAATTCGTTTTACTCCAAAACGAGGTCGAGTACGAACCTCGGCAAAATTCGTTTTACTCCAAAACGAGGTCGAGTACGAACCTC